ATATATACTATATATATATATATATATATATATATTATATACTTAAATATATACATATATATAGTATATATACATGTATATATATTATATATATATATATATATATATATATATATATATAATATATATATATATATATATCCATGATGTCTAAAATATTATGATTCACACCATCTCTTGAGAATCAATAGTCATACCTCGAGGGTAATAAAAGTTTTTTTTTATTATATTTTTAATAAAAACTGATAAGTCTTTGTACAAACTTTATACACAGCGACTGTTACTATTAGCTTTCTTGTATATTAAGGGGGAAACACACAGCAAAAAATATATATATATAAATATTAGTAATGAGAATATTGTGACCAATAAGTGATCATTGTCACCCTTTGTCATATCTTGCATGGCATCTCGGTGTCATTAGAATTAACTAATTAACATAATGGACAAGAGTATTTTGTATGAGTAAATAACCTGTTTGTGCGGCTGGAAATCTGTTCATTGTTCAATATACAATGATCATCTTTTGTAGACATGGAGAGAAAAATGTTTTTATTTTCTATCTCTAGGTCTGCGCACACAGAACAGGTTCAAAATTGTGTGAATGTGTGTGTGTGTGTGTGTGTGTGTGTTGTGTGTGTGTGTGTGTGTGTGTGTGTGTGTGTGTGTGTGTGTGTGTGTGTGTGTGTGTGTGTGTGTGTGTACTCTGCCGTGACGTTTATGAACGTGTAAAATTCTCTATGTACGATGTGACATACTCCCGTGTACAACAGCACATTTGTAATAATGACAAGCACAGTGACATACACACTTTCAGTAATGACTTACAGTATTAATTAATGTAAATGAGCGTGAAGCAATTATGAATGGGGGGTTGAGGAACACCCCCTCCCCCCCCCACCAACTTTCCTCTACCCCACTATATTTATTTACGTAAATTGCACTGATTCTTCTCTTACATGTTCTTACAATCTACATGTAAAGAGGAATATTTAAAAGAAAGAAATGACAATGAGTAAAATAACACAAAATAAAAACTAAAATAAAAGTTTAAAATGAAAGCGAATTTTCACTTTGGCTTCGAGGGTCGGGGGGTATAAAGGGGGGGTGATCGATGGCTTTTTTTATTGTCATTCTTTACTATTTTTTCTTTTCGTATTCTGAGTAAAATAAAAATAAAAAACACGATTCCAAAAATTTTCTTTGAGTTGCCTATGTCATATAAAAAATAGGAAATACTATCAATTTCAACGCGCGCAGGTGTAAATTCTTACATATTTTTTCTCTCTTCATCAGGGCGACTAGATTTTAGAAAATTTGCGAAAAAAAAAAAAAAAAAAAAAAAACGCCATTACCATATTATCCGGGAATTTAAAAAAACAACGAAATAAGCAACATTCTTTCCTTTTTTTCCGTAGAGAATGAGTTAATGAGACGATGAGTTATAATGTGAGCGACTAAAGTAATGAACTAAATGTGTTACATCAACAACGTGTTCAAAAGGCGCTACGGTCACGTCCGCGACTTGCAGCAGCGGGTCCATCCGACGCGCTGATTGGCTGCTTGACCGACCAATCAGCGCGCAGCATCTCTCTCTCGCTCTCTCTCTCTCTCTTCGCGAAGTTTTGTGTCTCTCAAGTTTAAACCTCAGCGCGCAAAATACTAATGATAATAAAAAGGAAAAAAGAAAATGTATCTGATGGATGGCCTTATGGGTAATAAATTTAGCGGTGTAAGGGGGACTGTTCTTAACGATTGTGTTATGTTGTTGGTGTTGTTGATATTGGTCTTGTTCTGAGTTATTTGGATTTTCTCTCACTTCGGTATCGTTATCTCTCGCTCTCTCTCTCTCTCTCTCTATCTCTATCCTCTCTCTCTCTTTCTCTTTCTCTCTCTCTCTCTCTCTCTCTCTTCTCTCTCTCTCTCTCTCTCTCTCTCTTCTCTCTCTCTTTCTCTCTCTCTTCTCTCTCTCTCTCTCTCTCTCTCTCTCTCTCTCCTCTCTCTCTCTCTCTCTCTCTCTTCTCTCTCTCTTCTCTCTCTCTCTCTCTCTCTCTCTCTCTCTCTCTCTCTCTCTCTCTCTCTCTCTATCTATCTATCTATTCTATCTTCCTCTCTCTTTCTCTTTCTCTTTCTCTTCTCTTTCTCTTTCTCTCTCTCTCTCTTCTCTCTCTCCTCTCTCTCTCCTCTCTCTCTCTCTCCTCTCTGCCCTTCCTCTTGCGAAACATATAACCTATTAAGTCAACATCGAACGACAGAGGAGAAGGAAGGAGGGAGAGAAGGAGAAGAAAGAAAGCTAGAAGGGAAGGAAGGGGAAGACCACGAATGCGAATAAGAAAAACGAAGAGAGAATTACACAGAGAAAGAAAACCATTTAACAAAATTGGAGAAAGAAATGAAAGCGAAGGAGAATACCTAAGAAGACCAAGATTAGATTATCTTGAGAAACGAAGAAGGAAGTTGAAGACCAAGAAGAAGGGGAAGAGAAGGAGGAGGGGAGCAGGAGAAGACGGAGACCAAGAAGATGAAGAAAGAATAAAAGACAAGAAGAACAAGAAAATGAAGAAGTTGAAGAAGGAAATCAAGAAAAGGAAGAAAAAAGAACAAAAAGCCAAGAACAGAAAAGGAAGGAGATCAAGAAATGGAAGAAGAAAGAACAAGAAAGCCAAGAAGAAAGAAAAGGAAGAAGATCAAGAAGCAAGGAAGAGGAGCAAGACGCAGGAGCCGGCAGGAAGGAGAGGAGGAGAGAAGGAAGGAGGAGGAGGAGGAGGAGGAGGAGGAGGAGGAGGAGGAGGAGGAGGAGGAGGAGGAGAGGAAGGAGGAGGAGGAAGGAAGGAGAAGAAGAAGAAGAAGAAGAAGAAAGATGAAGAGCAGAAGAAGAAGAAGGAAGAAGAAGAAGAAGAAGAGAGAAGAAAGAAGAAGAAGAAGAAGAAGAAGAAGAAGAAAAGAAGAAGAAGAAGAAGAAAAGAAGAAGGAGGCAAGACGAGAGAGCGGCGACTGGCGATCGCAGAGCCACCGAGCCAGCCCACTCGCCTCTCCTCGGCGTGTGTGCTCTCCGATGACTCATGGCTCCGTCTACCTGGCTCTGTATTTGGTCCGGTTAAACTCGTCTGCGACTTAATGATGACTATCTCATTCCTAATGACGGGGGGAGGGGGGAGGGGGTGTAAGGGGTGTGGATTAAGGGTGTTTGTGTGTGGGTGTTTGGTAAAGATTCTGATTTGGGTGTAATTGGTGTGTGATTGTAATAAATGTAAAAAAAGATAATGATGAGAGTAACAACAATATAATAATAGTGATAAATAACATGATAATATTGGTGATGGTAATCATAAGGATGAAAAATATAACAATAATAATAATAATAATAACAAAAAAGAGTAAAATAAAATAATAACCAAATATTTATAATAAAATAATAACAAATAGTGATAAAAATAATTGAACAATAACAACATGAACAATCGGTAGAAAAAGAAAAGCGCGCATGGAAGCCAACCGCTCGAGAGACACAAACCCGAGGGCCTTCGTCGCCGCCGCCGGACCTCGCTTCCCCGCGGACGGACCGACGGCGCCTGTGGCAGGAGGGGCAGGGGGAGAGGGGGGGGGGGCGTTAACAACTAAATTCTTTATTTCCTTCGCGATTCACAGTTACCGTGAGTTTCCTTGCTTGCTTGTTTCATTTTTTTTTTTTTTTTTAACCAACTCAGATCATATCCACAAGCTGTCGTGTTTGAACACCATTTTCTCCTGTGTCTTTAAACCTAATTAATATGTACACGTGAACAGCCACGCTCAGAGGGAAGCGCGCTCGTTCACCTTTCGTTCAGCCTCGAGAACACGAGCTGGAAATAAAGAAATTGACCTTAACCTAACGATTTATAGGCACCATAATCATCAGGGCGGGAAACCCAGCTCGCAGCCCGCTCTTCTTTTGTTAGACGAGGCAAAGGCGGACTCGCAGGGTGTCGCCACCGGAGGCTCTCGAAAAATAACAAAAATATTAATATATCGCAAATATAGTAATCTTTTTTTCTCTCTGTGGAAGACTGCAAATCTATTTTAGCAAATACTGTACGTTTTCCCGCGCTTCCCTAGCTTCAAGGACAAAAAACAATGACAAAAAGTAGGCATCTGCAACGTGCGATCTAAACAGGAGGATTTCGCCTCAGAAAGGGGTTGGGACCCTCTTGTTATTTATCCAGCGATTTTCTTTTGTTTCTTATTCAATACTGTTTTCAATTTCCTGCCGCCATTGGGGGAACTTGTGAAATTTCAATTGTTCTCTTTGGTTCTCGTTTTTGTCCTCCATTTCTTGCATTTTCTCGCTCGACCTAAAGTAACCGCACTGCCTAAGAATTCGTCGACTTGTCTTAGCCATCAACGTCTACTGCGAACAAAAAAGCCTATACCATTTGCCCTTCTAGAACATCACCGCGGTTTCCTACATAAAAAAAAAGTTATTAATAGCAAAAAATAATTGAAAACAAAATAACATGGTTAATGTGCTTGTTATTCCACTGATCGCAGCAAATGTAACATACAGTTATTATCGCGCAAATTACATCTAGAGTTTGGGGTTAGTTCGATTCCAGCTTCTGCTTTCTATTTTTCTCACTACCACCCTTTTCCGCGTCTCCAACAACCTCCCTTCGCCGGAGCACAAACACCGAGGTCGATCAGCCAACACCCGCAGTCGACCCGCGATCTCACTTACAACCTGCGATTGGCGCGACTGGAGGCGAGGGAGATCGACGAGCTTTGGCTGCGACGGGACGAGCCACCAACCGCCGGCCGCCCTCCCGCTTTCTGTGGCTGCGCGCGGGACCCGGTTTCTGTGTTGGATTTCCGTTGTGAGTCCAGCTCTTTTCTTCCAAGTCTTATGCGTTCACACAAATTATCATATATATATATATATTATATATATATATATATATATATATATATATATATATATATATATATATATATATGTAATATTATATATGTATATATATATATATATATATATATATATATGTGAAGGATTTGGGTGAGCTGCCCGTCCCTTTTCCAACCCTACACGTCCATCTGTCGCCATCCTCTTTGTGCGGGCGACCTCAGCGAAGGGAAACGCTGAATCGCCCGACTGCCTCGCGGGAGATCCATGGCGGACGGGCTGCAACGCATAATGGACGCGCCTTGAAACCTGTGGCATAATGTCGGCAAGCTCAGGTGTGGTTGGAAAGGCATACTCACAAATCTACGAAGTTGGATTCTGTGTTTACGCTGCTTGTTTGGCTTGGAGCAGCGGCTGGTTAATGGCGGGAGAAACAACATTTCCGGGATTTCGGGAAAGCGCCTACTGCGTGCTTCCGACATTTTCTCTAAAGTTGCTTTTCTTCTTTCTGAATTGCCAATGAGAGGAAGTGTTTCCAGCGAGTGGAAGTTCTTCAGTTTGCATTCCCAAGACATTCCGTAATCGGCAGCTCGGCTTCTATCCCAGCCTTGGCCGAATGAATTTCCAATAAGCAATTATGAAAGATAGGGGTCGCGGCTCTGGCAGGCAGCCTCTTGGGCCTCCGGGCGCAGGCAGGGCGGGCCGCCGGGAATTTGGTGGCGGGGATGATGTTGGAGATCTAATAAAAAGTCATTATTTATGTAACGGCTTCGATTTCCCGAGAACTCGAGAGGAAGAAGGGTCTCCCGGCGTATTTGAACTTCCCGCGCAAGTGACGCGGCGACACTCTTCGAGCCGCCATCTTGTTTTCAGTGTCGCCATCTGTTGAGCGGAAGGGACAGCGGGAA